AAAAAAGCATAATTTAATGTAACATTAATTGGCCACATAAAATCTGATAGCAATTGTATGTAACATAAAATTTTAATGAGTATCATTAAATAAAATAAACAAAAGTATAATTTGTTGCTTTTAATATTAGCTTACATGACAGCTTATTAGGTTACTAGTAGGCATAAAATGAACAGGGAAAATGCATTGCAAAGAGCAAAGCATACTATCTTTCCCATATTTTATGCTGACCACTTCCTTCTGAAGCAAACAGACACAATATAGTACTTAAAATTTATTTTATTTTTCACTTTCTAGCTTTATAAGATAACTGATGTATCACACAGTTATAGATAAACAGAAATTTTCTTTGTCTCATAGTTAATTTGTTGATTCCCTGTGCATTTTTGTTTCATGTTCTGTCTGTTTTATAATTGTACTAGAGGCCTGTTTCATGAAAAGATTCGTGCAATAGGCCTTCCCTCCCCCTGGCTGCTGGCACCAGTTTTCCTCCGGCACCCGGACCCAGGCCTTCGCTCTGACCAGAGCCACCTTCAGTCTTCGCTCCACCACTTTGCACCTATGTATGCAAATTAACCATCATCTTTGTTGGCAGTTAATTTGCATATCTCACTTATTAGCCAATGGGAGGTGTAATGAAGGTACAGTCAATTACCGTGTTTGTCTATTATTAGACAGGATTTTTTTCTCCTGTGTCATGCCACTACTGGACATTGTGATCTAGAGCAATATTTCTGAAGTTGGGATATGCTTATTAAGCACTGTATATCTTTTGAATATGCAGATTTGGACCAAATATGTTGTGATGTGGAGCCTGACAATCTGCTGCTGGCTCATTTACCATAGTTTTTGGAGCAAGGGTAGAGCAGACACCAGATACATGGACAGCAGTGATATCCAATGAGCGATAACCAACGGTAAAGACCGAATATTGGAATATTGAGACTTACTCTGCACATGTACCTTTCTTCTTTCATTTCTTCTTTCTTTCTTTCCTTATCTTCTTTTCTTTTTTGCTTCCTCTTTCTCCCTTAATCCCTCCCCTTCATCTGTTGCTTCTTTTCTTTCTCCCTTCCTTCCCTCTCTCTCACACCTCTTTTCTTAAGCTCACATTTTACCTTTACTATTTTAAAATATGTATTTCTTCTTTTTTATATTTTTCAAAATAAGCATGTTATATATCATGCATTGGTGTAATGGCTAGCAAAAGTTGAGGGCAAATAATAAATAGAGGAATTTGAAGGATTACTTTGCTTCATAATCTTTGCAGCCACCTCTCTTTCTCCAAATCAGGGTCTGGACATTTAAGTACTTGTCCCTAAGTAATCAGAACACTGGTTGTTTTGGTGGGTGGCAGTTGGGATTTATCTATTATGTTTTTGTACTTACATTGCAGATATTAGAAAATTTCTATTAAAAAAACTTTTTAAAAACCTTCCTAGGAATATCCCTTAAGTGTACATCCTATCTAATAATAGACAAACATGGTAATTGGCCATACCTTCGCTACGCCTCCCATTGGCTAATCGGCGAGATATGCAAATTAACCGCTAACAAAGATGGCGGTTAATTTGCATACATAGGCGTGTAGCGGTGGAGTGAAGACTGAAGGCGGCTCCGGCCGGAGCGAAGGCCTGGGTCCCGGGTGCTGGAGGAAAACTGGTGCCGGCAGCCAGGGGAAGGGAAGGCCTATTGCATGAATCTTTTCGTGCAAGAGGCCTCTAGTCTCAATATAATTTATTTTATAGATATTTCTTGGTGAAGTCTCAAAAACAATATACAAATTTTATATTATGTAAATTTATCAGATTTGGTTTGTAGATAGCAACTTGCTTCTGTTTGGGATTTTTGGTTGTTTATCTTATCAAGAGCTATAGTGGGGGAAAAAAAGGCAGACTGTTGGACACCCTCTCCCCCCAGTCAGTAAGTTAACAAGTTCTGAGTCAGGTTAGTCAAGAAAAAAAGCAAAGGGTTATCTGGACTTTTTACATACAAATATTTTCATAAAATATCAGATGTCAGGAGACACCTTCACATGCACATAGTTAATAGTTATATTAATGATTCTGATATATTTGCTTTCTTTACTTTTGTGATTTTGATCCCATTTTAACAGACCTGGAAAGAGACATTCTCATTTTTTATAAATGGAAACCAGCCCTCATCCTGTGGCAGCCCTCTGGATCAAACATGCACTGAAATGGGTCAGTTTCCATTTAATCCATTATAAGGCCAATAGGCCACACTGGGAACAATGCAGCCCTGACATACATTTTCTGTCTTGTTCCGAGTACTGAAAATGCTATATATTCTCATCATCTGAAGATATCGCTTAGAAATCATATAGGATATTATGTGACTTCTGAACTATTTGGGCCTACCATTCTTTGGAATTAACCTCCGCCACTTCAAAGCCTCGGTATATGCCACAGATATGGATGCTTACATAGAACTTGAATTTTACTATTATTTTCATAATCAAAGTTTGTAAAAGTATATTTTGATGGACCAGATGACAATTTTAGTAGAAGAATTTAAATAATTTATTCTGAATCCATACTTCTACTATTATGGTGTTTTAATGATTTGACACCATTGTTAGTAAGCTGGCTACATAAACTATTACCATAGAGAACGAAAATGGGAGCATTATATGAGATACTATGGCTTTCTCCTCAAAAACATGGAGTGACCATATTGAACAACTGGATATGTTGTGCAATTACTGCTTAAAAAAAGTTTTATAGATCAAAAGTTCTGTTGATCTACATTTCTTATAGATCAACATTTTGAAAACAAAATACATTATTTTTAGAAGACAACTAACAAAACAACCCTTTTTTTTCTTAATTGTCATAAAAGAACTCTATCTGGTTAACTTATTCAGTAACTGAGATGCATATTTTAAAACCAGCTTGTCTTAGAGGAAATGTCATTGCATTTTTTCTTAAATTTAAGTATTCAAATGTATTTTACAAAGCATTTTTCTTTAATATTCAAGGTAAGAACTACATTTTATATCAGCTTTAAACTTTCTCCAGACCAAAAATATTGAGGCTAAGATGTACAAGGTAGACCTTTAAAGTGATAACCACAATCCCTTTTCATTGGAAAGGACTGCAAAACAAACTCTTGAGGCAAGCACATCATAGCCTATGAGTGCTCCTTCATTTAACTGCAAAGGGGTAGATTTATAGAAATCCTTTTCCTATAGAATGACAGTCATAATCTTGGCTTTCAAGCTATGTCTCAACTATTAACCAGCAACACAGAATAACTATTTCACCTGACAAAGAATTTTACTGAAAATCAGTTTCTTGTTAATAGATTTCAAAAGCTCAGATGAGCAAAACAGCATTTATGAAGAACTGGTGAATGGGATGTACTTCATTGATTTAAATATTCTAAAACACCTCTCAATTTACTTAGACAAGCAGAATATTATACTTCTTATCAGACTTCTCCTAAGTGTTATCCCACAGGTCTGCATTCAAAGGTACCATAATAAATCTTGCTTTATATTATCTGGGGCCAACGCAATTCAGAACATATGCATTTGTCTAAAACTTAGGAACTCAGAGAGGAACTTCCTCTCCTGACTGTCAGTACCAGGAAACATTAAACCTTTTTTGTACAATTGACTTGTGAAAATGATAATTAACTGATTTTGACTCTTTCTTTGAAATAGCTAAAGGCCCATTAAAAGTTTGCGATTCATCATTGGCAAATATGAAAGGCTTTATAAAAAGAATGCACTTACTAATTTTACTTAATTTTACTTTAAGTTCCATCTATTTTTCTATATCAATCTGGCTGCTGCTCCATATTCAATAACATTACCTTTATATTAATCAGTGGTTTCTGGATTTACACAAATCATTCTAGAACAAAGTGAATTAGAAGAGTCACTTTCAAAAGCACTGGACCAGTTCAATTTCTGCTGATGGCTTAGGAACAATATTTAAATATTTAT